ATGTATGTATATATATATACTTTTATCTTGTAGGTGCAATATACATTTTGCTACGATGCAGCACTGTGTTACCTTGATGGATCTGAAGCTTATGTCAACTTTTAGTTAAATCAAATTTCTAGATTTTACTGAGAAAGCATGCCTCTTATATTCATAATTAGACATTTAACTATAAAATTAGATATTATATTAATTAGAATTATTGTTGCTAATTATATCGTTATTGTCGCATCAAATTGATAATTTGTAATGTTTTTTTTTAAAGAAAATAAAATGCATTTCTGTGATTTTAGGCACATTGATAATATCAAAATTAGTCTCATTAAGTAACTTAACGAGAATAGTTGCTCATAATATGAATTTAAATAAATTATATTATATAATGATATAGTGCACTGGAATAATGAAAATAATACTGCTAAATAAAATAAAGACCATAATTGTTTTTATTCGAAAATAAAATGTTTTTTTTTTTTATATTTTCTGCACGCCGATAATATCAATTTCGAAAGAAAAATATACACAAGATGTTTTACATTAACTAGGCCTCAGCCTCTTTATGAAACATAAGGAGAAAATGTGTTTGTAATAGGAATTTGAATAAGTTATATCAGCAATAATACATGTAACAGTCAATAATATAGTGTATTGTAATAATGAAAATAATACTGTTAAACATAGTAAAAATCTTAATTGTTAAGTAATGATAATAATATGATAACATAGTAAACATTATTCTAATTCTAGCAAATCAACGTATATTCCAGTTATAATTTCAATATTAGGTTACGGTGATGATTTTAATATCACTGTTTCTTTTAATTATTATTATGTATAATATAGATAAATTATTCCATTATCAGGTAATTTAGACACACTTTTATCTACTCTATAGACCTTATATGATACTTTTGTTTAGTAGGTGCAATGTACATTGTTGTGCAACGATGCAGCAGAGAAAAGAAAAATAGCTTTACTTTTCGTCATGGCTACTTTGATAGATCTGAGTTTATGTCAATAATTAATTAGTTTTATTAAGGCTCATACTTTTACACAGAAAGTACCTTATAGTCATAAGTTGATGATTTATTAGATTTTGATAATAATAAAAATAGATATTATTAATTAATTATATATTATTGTATTATTAATTATAATATATTGTTAATTATATCGTTATTTTCACAAGAAATTGATGATTTAAAGAAGATTTAAGATTTCTTTATTCTTGTCATTTCGGGAAAGTAGATCGTCGGAAAGTAGAGTGCAAGATGTATAAAAAACAATAATATGATTACAATTATTGTCTAAAACTTATTTGATATTATTGTGATTAAGAATGTTAATTGATAATGGTAATAATAAGTTGAGACATCTATGTGTTATACAGCTTTGTGATTTTAAATGAAGATGCGTTTAGTGGGTGGAAACTATCTGTCAAGATACTCTTAACTTTATAACTTTAATATCACAATTTGTGTTTTGTTTTACTTGGTTTTAATCACAAATCAATTAGATAAATATTAATTAATTAATAATAAATAATTATTTCCAGATCAAACAAAGAAAAAAAAACATAAACATACTAATGCCAACAAATGTATTCTTTACTTCAGTGGTGACGCCAGGATTTGCCCGACGGGGGTCCGAGGTCCTCGAAGGGTT